TGGAATATGTCGCTGAGCGTGCAAACAGCAACGCCATTAAAGTGGTAAAAAAGGGCATTTAAGCCACTTTAAAGGCCAATTTTGTGGAGTGTACAAAGGCCTGTTGTTACTAGACAGCTACAGGAGAAGTGCCATGAGGAACACCAAGATCTTTACATGGCCTTCACTGACCTGACTAAAGCTTTGAATCAGTCAATAGAGAGACTCTATGGAAGATCTTGATGAGATCTGAATGCCTGCCACAATTTGTTAACATCATCAGATTTCTTCAAGATGATATGACAGCAACAGTCCTAAGTAACGGCTCAGAAATGGACCCCTTCACTATTAGACCTAGAGTCAAGGCACAATGTCTGATTACACCAATATTTTTTTGCATCTACATCACAGCTATTCCACCTCTCATTGCAGATCAACCTCCTTCTGGAGTCAGCATCCAGTACTCCATGAATGGGAATCTCTTTAATATCAATTAATTATGTTCCAAATCCAAGATAACCAACACTTCCATTAGCAATCTTCAATTTACTGACAGTTGTGTTATGTGTGCCCGCTGAGTTGAAAAGCTCCAGGTCACTTTTTGATTGCTTCTGTGAAGTCTATGAACTGCTTGGACTCAGTCAACTTCACAAAAACCAAGGTACTTTACCAACCCACCCCAAACCTACCAGCTTCTCTACCACATACTGCAATTAGAAGGTAATCCTTAGAAAATGTTGAGCACTACCTGGACAGTCACGTTTCTCCAGAAGTAAACATAGAGATGATATTCAACACTGGATAAAAGCAGTCAGTGCTGCCTTTGGATGTCTCCAAAACCATGTTTTTCATGACCATGACATGAGGGCCCAAACTAAACTTCTCGTTTCCCAAGCTCTTGTCATCCCTAGAGGGGTGAAACTTAGAGGACATATTGGAAACCTCTGAAAGCTTTAGCACATTACCATTAATCATGACTTTTGGAAATCCTCCACATCATTTGGAAGGGCAGAAGAATGAATGTTGGTATTCTGACTCAAGCAAACACCACAGCTATTGAAGTCATGTTTATATAGCACCAGCTCCGCTGAAAAGGACTTCTTACATGAATGCCTGACAACTGACTTCCAAAACAGGTCCTATATTCTCAGTTCGCTGATGGTTACCACTCTAGAAATGGACAAAAGACAAGATTTAGGGGCACCTTGTAAGCTATTTTGAAGAAACGCAATATTAATAACAGTACTTGGGAGAGTCAAGCACTGAATCATCGCCAGTAGTGCCATGCTGCTCAACAGCACACTGATCATTTTGAGCAAACTCACTTTACTTGGACAGATGAGAGAGACCAAG